ACCACTCGAAACGAAAAAAAAATCGATCATCGGATTCCTGCTTCCGACTTTCTATCGTTTTTTTCGGCTGAAAATTCAAGAATCTAGGCGCCGGAATCATTAACCTGGGAGTTTTCACTTACATTTCTTAATTTTACAATCTAACAAAGACTTCTATATTTTCAAGCATGACTTAAGCCAATAAAAAACTATCGAAATTTGATCCATTTTCTTTATTTCAATCAAATTTTCAAAAAACAAAAGTGTAAGTTTATATTATCCAATATAAAATGATTAATTACTCCAAACAGCTCCTCCTATTGTATCCATTTTTGCTCCAGTTACTGAAGCTAAAACATTTGGTTTATTTTGTATACGTAATAAACCAATGAATGCCATAATTAATGCTTCTTTAAAATCAACAACATTTCTATCAGGATATTCAACATCAATACCAAAATTTTCTTTAAGTTTACTTTTTAAACATTGAAATAAAAATTTATTATGTGCACCACCTCCTGTTATTAACATTTTACAATTTACATACGTAGATTTATCTTGTTTTTCATTTATAATTATCATTTCTATTGAATTACTTATTTGTTGAATAATATGTTCAATATATGTACGTAAAATATCATTTATATTTAATTTATCAAATTCTAATAATGGATAAACAATATCAAGACCAAATGAATTTGATAAAGATTTTGGATATGATTTTTTATAATAATCTAATTGATTAAGTTTATTTAATAATATTTCATTTATTTCACCTTTAGATGAATATTCACCATTTTCATCATATTCTTTATTATAATATTTTTCAACAAGTCTATTTAACATACGATTAGCTGGACATATATCAAATGCAATTTGATTTTTTCGATCAGTTATATTAGCAATACCACCAATATTTAATAAAAGACGATATTCATCAAATAAATATATTTCACCAATAGGTACTATGGGTGCACCTTGACCACCATAAGCAACATCCATTGAACGTAAATCATTTACAACTAATAAATGAGTTTCAGCACATATTGCTGAACCATCTCCTATTTGTCCAGTCATACCATTCCATGGTTCATGAAATACAGTATGACCATGAGATGCAACAAGATCAATATCACCTAATTTAAGATTATATTTAGCAATAAAATTATTCACACATTGACCTAAATAATGACCGTAAGATGTATGTAAAAGAAGATACGATCGAGCATCTAAATCAATTGCTGTAGATAATTTCTTTATCCAATAAGGTGAATAAGGTATAGTTTCAGCATGAACAATACTAAATACCCATTTTTCTGCTGGATAATTACCAGTTGAAAAAAAATCTACACATGCGATATCAAGACCATCTAATGAACTGCCACTCATTAAACCAATAACACGGGGCATTGTTTCTTCTGTATGAATATACGTATATTAAATAATAAAGTAAGATCCGAAAGTTTTGAGATAAAATGTTCTTTCACTGACTAAAAACATCTAGCAGAAATCTAACAAAATTGAGTTAGGCTGAAAGAATTTTTTCCGAATCTAGATTCAGAATTTTTCTTGGACTCATTGATTACAAATTATACATACATCTTTGAATGGTCTGAAAATTCCAGAAATTAAAGAATGTCAATGTACCTCGTGCCGAAAATCTCGTCTCATAGAAACCTAATGATCGGAATATCATTTTTTTTATGTATTTGAAATAATTTTTACTTATACCTTACACGTTTTTATTTTGTGCCCTAAAACTTATCGAAAATTTATTTCCGAGTCTTTTAGAAATACGCTCATCAATTCTGATCAAAGGCCGAAGTTTTAAAATTTTTAACAGGCCGTAAAATGATCGAACATTCTGTTTCAAAACTTTCGAATCACTCTTTTTTGTCAAAATCAAATAGTTAAGCAAACCGAAGAAGAGACGAAGCAGCAGTATTCATACCTTTAGACTCACTCGGAAAGAAAAGAATTTCTATAAAAATTCGAAAAGATTATAATACCGAATATAAACAAAACGAAAAACAGCAAACGATGAATGATATTTTACTTATGAACAAAAACAAACAAACAAACAAACATATTATCTGACTAGATTTCGAACAAAAAAAACATTTGAACAAAGTTGTTCAAGTAAATCTAATTGTTTATCATCATCAATATCTTGATTATTCAATAATAAAACAAATTGTAAACGAACAAATATATCCAAAAGATTGATTTCATCATTTGTTAATGAAATAATTTCTTCATATGCATGAATTATTTCTTTAATATTATAATTAAATGAATCAATATTTGTTAGAAAAGATAAAACTAAATCAATCAAATAAAATGATTGTTGATTATTATTCCATAAAAGACCAATTTCTAATTTATTTTCATCTATAGTTGAAATTTGTTCTTGACATGTATATAAATTTGATAAAAGAAATGGATAACTATTCTTTTTTTTATTAATAATAAATGCATATTGTTGATTGAACCATTCATTATTAAAAGGATTTTTCCATGAAATTTTAAGAATATTACGTGTATGTAAACGCCATTCTGCTAATAAATAACCAATTTGTTTATTTAATGAAAAATTATTATTATTAAAAATAACAATATGAGATTGATCTATAGATGATATATCAAGAATTGTTCCATTACATTGACATAATGATAAAATAGATTGTAATTGTTCAAGAGAAATTGATGAATGTGAAAATAATTTCATAAGATATTTATTATCAGCATTAATTATATAACTAGATGAATTAAGTATTTCAAATGATGAAATTTTTTCTTTGTAACTTAATTCGAATACTTCTTTTATTTGATTTTCATCGATTGTTGGCATATCAACATCCATTTTATCCTAAAAACAAAACGATTTATACTAGAAGATTTCAAAAAAAAAAATAATAACAAATATTCAATAAATCGATATATTTCCTATAAATAATTTTCGCTATAGATTTAGATAGAAAATTAGCCGGATGCAGAATTCTTATACTTTCTATAGACACTAAATAAATTTAAACTTCTTTGAGAAATTAACGAAAAATTAGTTTATTTTAACCTTTTGTTTCATCACTTTCGTTCTCTTGTTTGATCTTAGCTTTTTGTGAAGTTTGATATTTCAAATTATAATCTTCCCATCGCTCCTAACATGTTTGACTTTCTGTCAATGAATTACAGCTTCAGGACAGAAAACGGCTTTTCGGTCTGATGTAGAAGGCGGTCGAAACAAGATGAGTTTTGCTCTACTAAATAGTATCGACAAAAAATCTTATTTAGTTGTATCACATAACAATAAATCATCAATAGCCTTACATCAAGTTAGGAATGTGCAATATTTATATCTGTGTTTGCTCCAACATTGGAACATCTTAATAAAACATGTTGAAAAACAATAATACACAATCATTTTATCTTTTGCAGTTTTTTTTCTTCTTCTCATGATTCACATAATACTCTGTTGTATCAAAATCTAAACATTTAATGTAGTTTATAGTTTACCAGAGAAAGGTTCCTAAGTGTGATTTGTCAATCAAGCTAATATTTCATAGATAAGTTATCTTCGATGAGAATATGCAAAAACCTAAAGGATTTGAGTTTCTTTTTTACTTCTAACTCAAAGAATGGGATTAAGAAATTTCAATCTGAAGTTTTGCCTATAGATCTGGCATCCCACCGACAGTTTGTAAAAAAAGAGGATTTTTGAAAATAAAGAGGAAAAGAGGAGTTTGGTTTTTTTTTCGGACGAAAAATGCTAACAAATATCCACACAAGAGCAGAAGCCTGTAAAAATAGCATAACTAAGATCTGCATTTAATGGTGAATCGAAACAGCGAAAAATGAAATTCAGTATTATTCATATGGAGTAAGACCACCCTATGTGGATATTTTCCTATTATGGACACCTTTCGGTCCCCTTGAGCTATTGTTGCTGGAAAGGGACCTCTCGAACGTGGATACTTCTCTATTCTAGACTGCTGACACTTTTTGCCATTCCAGCCTCCTGTGGAGAATCTCTTGAATATGGACAGTCACTCAAGTTCACAGCATTTTTTCAGTGTTGTGTCAAAATTTGGAAACCAAAAATCGAGGAAACGGGAATCTACAAAAAGATTTTCGCGCAAGAAAATCGAGTTTTCATGTTGAAATTCAGGATTTTTCTTTTAGAATCCTCTTTTCCAAATTGAAGCCTCCGTATTTTTCGTTTTCTAGATTTCTCTTTTTTCGAATTTTGAAACATGTTCATTTTTCCCGAAACAGAGCTATGCATGTAAATGCGCACTGAATAGATCAGTATGCGATGTCTCCTGTAATAGAAAGTAATCGTGATAAGATAGACCAGGAAGCGTGAAAGAAAGAATTGAACACAAGTGTATTTATCTACTCATTAAGCAATTCCTTGTAAGCGAACTCGAGCCGGAGATGATTGATGTCCATCTTGACTGGAAACTGTCCAAACAAAGCTTTATCATTAGCTATTTCAAAAAGAATCGCTGGAATTGAAACAGACTTCAATAACTGATGAGTGACGCTGATCCGAACACAGTTCCATGGAACATAACCGTAAGGAAGGGGGTGNTTAACAATAATCTTAATTATAACTAATATTCTACGTAGTTAGTATAAATAGAACATGAATAATTAACGTGCTAGCGATAAAAAATTAATTTGACTTGTATATTTGATTATCTTTCTAGAGTAGTTAGTATTTATTTAACAGACGTCAGTAAAAGGTTAAAAGAACCATAGTATCCTGTCCGATATAATAAAATGTGCGTGTCATATGGTACAATTCATCATATTTTTAAGAGAGAAAAAAAAACAGAAGAGAATAATCACGTTCTTTATTTCTAAAATATCGTGCTAGGTTTGCAAAAAATATTTAAAATAGGTCATTATCTATTTCACGTAATTTTGGTAGACATGATATTTACATTTTAACTTCTAATATCAAACATGTAACAATGAATTTTTATTCCAACTTTTTTTTTCGTTTTAGACTTTCTTGACACACCAGATTTCTATTGGTCAAATAGTCGATTAGAAAAGTAACTAAAATAAATATTTGATGTCTGATAACTATTTTATATTTTTTAGTCTTTATAAAAAAGTATTTAATTATTTTACAATAGCTAAACGAACAAAAGTTTTAAATGAACGTTTAAATTTTTCACTTGAACTTATATCAGTTATTCAAGCAAGTTTAAATGAAAAAAACCATGTACGACTTGAATGGATAATAATAATATTAATATGTGCTGAAGTATTTTTCAATATAATTGATCATATAGATTTTACTACATGGAAATTTTCTTCAAAACATTCAAAATCTTCAGATGATTAAATTTTGATATTATTGTTTCATTTGTATTTTTTGTTTTTGGAAATAAAAATAAAACTATATATATATATTTTCTTTTTCTATAAGAAGAAAATAAAAATCAAATTAATTTCATACGCTATTTCACGTTAATTATTCATGTTCTATTTATACTAACTACGTAGAATATTAGTTATAATTAAGATTATTGTTAATATGATGTGAATAAAATAAAACGAAATAATAAATCAATAATATATCCATTTGACTACTTCACACTATGATGATTTTGAATAAAATATATTGATTATATCAGTACATTTATTTATCATGATCATTCATTTTCTTTTGTTTCTCGAAATATAGTTATCATCAATGAAAGGATCAGTCAGTCACACTTGATTAATCTTTTATATACATAAATGGTCGTTTTTTTTCTGTCCTATTATTATTGTGTTCTATTATCGAAACAAAAATGGTAAATATATGTCCAATGCTCATACGTCCATCATTTATTGGTCATACTTATCATGATTTTCAACTAAAATTTGAATCTCCAATAACAAATTGTACTATAGATCCTATGCAAAATATACTTTTTATTCAATTTAATCGTATTTCAAATTCAACATTAAATAATACATCATATACTCTATATGATCTAACAAAATCTAATAGTGAATTACCACATATACAAGTTTATCCTGATGATCATATTAATTTTTGTGTACAATCAGCATTTAATATAGATAAAAATAAAATAACATGTCAAGAATTTTATATGATAACAATGTTATCATCAATAGATACAATAATATGGCCATTATTAATTATATTTGGTTATATTATTATATTAATAATAGGAATATTATTTTCTTTATTATCACAAATATTTAATAAATTATCTCAAACAATTTTTTCAGGTTCAATAACAAAAAAATTATTAAAAACACGAGATATATTTTCATTTTTACCAACATCACAGAGAAATTTACGTAATATGAATTTAACAAAATTTGATGAAAAAAAAGAATTTTTCAAAGCAATTGATATTATTGCTAAAGAATGTCGAACAAATACAAAAACATATATTATTAAAACACAAAAATTTTAATCGACATATTAATCAAGATTTTTTTGTAAAAATTAACTGAATTTTGAAAGACTTAATAAACAAAAAAAAAACAGAATAAACATAATAAATTTACTGATTATTATGAATAAACTGAGACAAATAAGAAAACATTTCCATAACACCACCTCCTATTATAAAATAATTAAATGTTTAAAAGTTTTAATTTTCAAAAAATATTTACCACTATGTGCACTTATTTCAAATATTTTCCATTCTTTAGATTCGATTTTTGGTAATGATAATGCTTCAATAAGTTCTTCTTTTCTTAATGATTCTAAAAATAAAATATCACACATGAAATTATTTTGATGATAAAACAAAAAAATAATAATTTTGTAAACAAACCTGGTAAATCTTGTTTATTAGCAGCAATAACAACAGGAATAGTAGATGATCGACCTAATTTCTTTGATAAATCTAAAAGTTCTTTTCTAGCAAGTTTTATTCGTTGTTCATCATGACAATCAATAACAAACACCACACCTTAATAAGAAAAATAAAACAAATACAAAACTATATCAATGGTAGATAAGTCTAAATTATGTAAATTACTTGTTTCGAACGATATATGACATTTTAGAATGTATGCATTTATCTCGACCTTATTATAATCAATTCATTTATATTAAAATATTTAAGAATATGACGTATATAGCCTCTAATTTGTCTTACAATTGATATATATATATATATCTTATAATTATCCTATTTAATCACGGAAATCATACCTTTATGCTCCTTTTAAATTTTTAATAATTAGAGTATCTTTAGAGATAAATATCTTCTGTTTTTCTGTATTCTACTATTACAATATGAGATCATTAATTTTCAGCGAAAAATGTTTCTTCTTATGTGACTCAGACTGTCGTAGGAGGATTACTTAGATGAAAACATTCTATGTCATATGCATAAAGTTAAAAGAATCAGGATAAATATTATTGAAAGTTTATTATTATTTGAAGCTCGATAAGTTTCGAGTGTTGGTTGTTATTTTATGTCAAGTTATATCTAATAATATTGACTCATTGGGCGTTGTTCAAATAGTTGAATTCGAAATTGAACATTATATTAATAAATATTTTTTTTAGTATTTCTATTCTGTTTAGCTTATATTTATGAGTGTCATTTTTGCATTCAGTTCGTAGGAACGGAAACGCGACATGCATTTCTTTTACTTTTAACGGAAGTCAATTTCATAAAAATGACGAATTTTTATAAAGTTTGACCAAAATGTAATCGGAGTTGAGAATTATCTTATTAAAAAATTAGGCTCAGAATTTCGAAACGTCTATCATAGATTTTGATTCCTCGAGCCCGATTATCTTTGATTAAACTTTATAAAAATTCGTCATTTTTATAAAATTGGCTTCCGTTAAAAGTACAAGAAATGCATGTCGTGTTTCCCTTCCTAGGAACGGAACGCTAACACTCATAGTTTATAATCAAAGTTCAACATATTTTTTCTTTTTTAAGAACTCATGAAAATATTAAAGATTTAAAGGGAAACGATTGTTCCGCACGAATGTAATCTTGTCATATTAATTTTGTTTATGCTAAAAAAAAAAATTCTCTATGAGATTCTATTTTAAATCTCGAAAAACTAATCATGATGTTAAGAATTAAGCAGCAAAAATTCATAACATTGAAAATGATAAGAATAATTGGCTCATCGGAGATCGAAACAAGAATGAGATTTAATATGTTTGCTTATCTATCAAATTTATCTAGATTCTTATAGTCGTTTAGTTTTTGTTAAAGATCTTATCAGTAGTTCATTGTAGTAGAACTTTGTAGAATCCTAGTAAAAGCAATTTCTATTTTTGTAGAGTATTTTATTTTTTATAAGCATAGCTTTGTAAAGAATAAAGTCTATTGAACATCCAAAAAAATTAAATAGGAATAGATGAAACCTAAAATACAGAAGATGAGTTATAGTAACATGAAAAATCGATTGGTCAATTTTTAAATCTATTCTATGTATGTCTTAACATCATTTAAAACAACAAGAAGAAAAGATAATTGAAATAATTAGATTATTTTTGAATCTCTAATATCCAAAGTTATTTTTATAACTCTATCTATTCATAAAATGTACTCAACTCAAAATTTCCGCTACTTTTTTTTTCTCTATGATTAGATAGCGCATATATTGAGTAGGCTAAGAAAAATGTCTTTCCAATTTAAAAAAACTTTGAAGAAACCATAAATTTTAGTTTTCATTATAAAAGATGTCAAAATTTTCATGTATCATTGAATTTAAATTTTTATTTCATCTGTTCAACTTGATAAATATTTTTTTTTCCAGGTTTACAAAACATTTGACTAAAGAAAAGTAATTTTAAAACTACTTTTGTCTAGTCAAGTATGTATGTCAAACTCGGAAAAAATTATTAATAAAATTGCACAAAGCGAAAAGAAAAACATATAAAGTTCCATGATACACCAAAACTTGACATATTTTGAAATAATATCTCATATTCAAAGTTTTATGAAAAATCTATTTTTAAACATTTAAGAGACACTTTCTCTCTCTCGACAACTTAATACACACTATCTAATCATGCAAGAAAAATGCAATGACAAAAAAGAAAAAAATTATTTTACGGAAAATTTCAATTGCATACAACTTAAGTATAATTATTCTTTGACATAAAAAAAAAAGATTACGAGCAAAAATCAAATCAATACAAACGATGATTTTTCTTCTTATCATACCTTGAATACCAGTTAAATAAAATCTCCATAATTCTCGAGTTTTTTCTTGTCCACCTAAATCCCATAGATTAAATGCAACTGGTGAAAGACGTGGAGAAACCGTTTCAATTTGATAAACAAATGTTGGTTCTGTTGTTATAGATTCAATAAAAGATGCATGCGTATCAATTTGTAAATCAACTAAATTTTTAAATCTTTGAACTAATGTTGTTTTACCAGCCGAATCAAGACCAATAATTACAACTCTAACTGATGGTTCATCATAAGGGGAACAAATTCGTCTAATTGTACTTGGAAAAACAACTCCCATTGCTCATCGATATTCACTTTTGTATTTACATCAACAATTTTCACCTGACAATGTTGTGCCAAAGACAAATATTGATTGACAAAAATACTCTCATTTTTTTCATTCTTTTTTTTTTTTCTTTTGCATTTTCTGTATTTCTTTCCCCTTTTGAAATCAATCTTCATCGCCGTTTGTGTATGCAAAGAAGCAAAAAAAAAAACAACGCGTTAAACATGCATTAAAAATAAAAATAAAAAAAAACAAGAAAATTTTAAGTAAAACTATTGCTTTTTTTAGGTAAACGATGTAATGAAAAAAATCGCTGTTGTTGATCAGTAGATATTGATTGTTGATTATTATTTGAAGCAATAAATATATATAAATTATTTCGTTTACGTTTATGAGAAAAATAATTCAATTGACAAGTTAATATCGATACAAAAGCACGACGAAATCGGACATTAAATGCTGTGTAAATAATCTATAATAAAAGAAAAAGAAAAAAATTAGATGAGAAAATTTTTTATTTACTGGATTTAAATTTGATGATATATAACCAAGCCAACTAGTTAAATTTAGTAATGATGCTTGTATACCACATGATGGACAAACAACTGAAAGAATATTTAATATTGAAAATGGAAGCCAAGCAACAAGAAAAACAAAAAATACAATTCCCAAAACTTTCATTGCTCGACGTTCACTTGTAGTTTCTGTACCACCTTTAAATGCATGAACTGCTTTTTGTACAAATGTACGATGAATAAATGAACGTTGATGTGTATTTGGTGTATTTGAAGCTAATGATGATCTTGATGATTTACTAGAAAACAAGAAATAAATCATATCAAGGTCAATATTAATATGCAACTGAGGTTTCATTTATATTCTTTTTAGTATTATGCTTGGATGAGTTCTCTAAGGGAATAGAATATATATATATATAAAGAATAGTCTCTCATGGGATTTTCTATGTATGAGTCAAAAGAAGAAGAAAGTTGAATACTAATTTTTATGATAAATAACAAGATGTCAATAAACAATGAAAAAGTAAAAAAGAATAAAGACTTACGGCCATTCAAGATGATTTGATTTACTATCAGTTTCAAGTAATGCTATTGAACGAGATGATGTTGGTGTTTGTATTGGTGTTGAACTACTTAAATCTTTTAATACGTTTTTTTTACTATTATGTGATGATGATCGAATTTTTCTTGTTGATTTATGTCGTCTTAAACGAGCTGATGCTTGTGACATCATTATTGAATGATCATCAGGATCTGAATAACATTTAGCTGCTTCTTTTTGAAGACGTCGAATTGTTAATGAATATGTAACAAGCATCAATATACATGGTACACAAAAACATACAATTGAACCATATATTATAAATGTATTATTATTTAAAGCACAAAATCGTTTATTATCATTACTTATTACTAATATATTTTTTTCATTAGTAAAACCAAGTATAAGTATAGTACATGATATAGCAATTGAAAATGTCCATATTAAAATAATGACAACAAATGTTTTAAATTTACTTCGTTCTCGACTACGAAATGGACGAGATATATAAAGAAAACGATCAATTGAAACAATTGTTAAATGCCATATTGATGTTGTACATAATAAAACATCGAGAAAAACATAAAGATTACAAAATATTATTGGTAATTGCCATGAACCTAATTATTAAAAAAAAAAAGAAATCGTTTATTCATGTGATAATCATCATATGTTCTAGTATTTATATTTAGTTAATTAAATATAATTCAGTATATTTTTGTTAGAATGTTAAAAGAATATTACATAATCTTAATCTATTTATTTAAAAAAAAACAAGAACAACAAAATATTAATATTGAATTATCTATTCAACAGACAATTAACTAGAGGATAATAAGTTTATTATGAACGATGAATCTATGAAGATTTTGTAAGTAAACATTATATATTTTTCATCATAGAATTATTTATAATCTTTTGTTGATATATAATATGAAATGATTATGTACTCTTCAACATTATTCATTAATTTTATTCATATTTATTTTAATTTTTAAAAGGTTATTAAATATTAAAGAATCTACATGGTTTAATATAATCTATTAAATATGACATATATTGAAATATCATTTACAGTAAGTTTCTGTAAATTCTATTCATTATATATATATATATATAATGAATATGAAAGTAATCATACACCTACGTATATGCTTATAAAGGAAAAAACAAAGTACTTCTTATAACACTAGTTATTCTTGACGTGCTAAAAAAGAAGGCTGAATTCTTAATAGCATTCTTTTCATTACTTTTTCGATACATCTCTCTATTGTAATTAACATAGAAATAATCATTCTTATACTTTCATAAATATCAAAAGCAAAAGAAGAAGAAACAAAAAAAAAACTTATTAAATATATTTCAATGAAAAAATTGTAACTTACCCTGAAAATCTTTTATAATCGCCAATGGTAAAACGACAAGACTAAGAAGACAATCGGCAATAGCCAATGAAAAAAGAAAAAAATTTGTTACAGTTTGTAATTGTTTATCAAGTGAAATCGATGCACATACTAATAAATTACCAACTATACCAAATATAGCTAATATTGATAAAATTAATACAGGCCAATTTAATTCATTTTTATTTATTGAAATAAAATCATCTGTTTCATTTATTGTTGATAATGGAGATATATTTTCATAATGAATAAAATTTAAATGATCATATACAGTTGTTGAATATGATGTTAATATATCAAAATTTTCCATTGATTATTTATATCATGTCAAAGAACATGTATCTTTTAATAATTGTGTGAGGTTTTGTTGTAAATGAGATGAATAATAGAACTAAATAAGCATGTATATAAAAGAATAAGAGTTAGTGAAGATAGCCTTATAACAACTTTTCTTTTCCATCTGCAATCATCTTCATCATTTTTCCTGTTGGCTTGTCTGCTCTCTTTCTCTTTCTCTCATTTCATGATTATATTAGAATTAATAAAGGATGAGAAAAACCATTTCTAGCATAGACGTAGCTACCATTATCATTTCGATGAACAATGACGACAATAGACACGCAAATTACTTTACTTGTGCAAAGAGAAAAAGACGAAGTAAATGATAGAAGAACAATAACCACAACAACAACAACCAAAAAAAAAAAAAAAAAGAGAAAAATAGAAAGAAAACCAGAAAAATACGATTGACAACAATTAGACATGTCATAAATTAAGATGTAGTGATTTTCAAATCAATTATTCGACAAGTAACAAAACTCAACTCATCTATATTTTATCATCATAATTCTCTGTCACAAAATATCAATTGATTGAAGTTTGTATTGCAGTGATTGATACAAAAAGAACACGAACGATCAACATTGAAAAAGAAATAATCATAAATATGAATAAGAAAAAAAAAAAAAAGAAACCATTGAAATTGATTTTTCTCACGGCTTTTATATCGGCTAAAGTGTGTCCGTATGTTGAACAATGTAATATTTTTATGAAAGAAAATAAAACTCATTAATAACCACAAAACAAAAAAAAGGATTTCAACAAGCACTTTCTATTTTCTATATCAAGTAGCACAGAGTTCATTTATTTAGTTTTTCACCTCTACTATTAAATCAAATTGACAGTCAATAACAGATGTGTTTCGAGCAGCGCTTTAATTCCATAGAGTATGTGTTTAATCAGAAGAGTAGATTAAATATTCATTGACCATAATTATTGAAAATTATCATTGATTTTTTTTTTTTTTTTTGTTAAAGTTTTACGAAATTCAATTATAATATATAATAATAATAGTGCAAAAAATAGGAGTTCATAGGTATGAAACTACAATAAATATATAAGAATAGATTGTTTTTATATCAACTCTAAAATCTAATGTTATAATAACAATTAAATAATGACATGATAAGTTAGAAAGTCAGAGTAGTAAGTTCGTGTTCTTTATTTTGTTTCATTTGACATCGATAGATTTAATAACAAAAATAGAAAAAAAACACACACACACACACAGAAATACAATTTTATATCTGATCTAATATGATCTTTTTTTTTGTTTTCGAAGCTCATATACATGACAAAATAAGTCACAAAAGAAAACGAACAATACAACTAACAAACAGAAATATTCGATGAATCAGTTTGATCATCATATGGTTGTGTATATTCAAATATAAGTAAATCACGTTCATTAATTGATTTACCAATAATTAAATATTCTTGTCGTTTATTAGAATCATTTGTTAATAAATGTACATGAAATGATTGAAGTATATTTTGTGATGATATTAATTCATTAAGAATATCTTTACGTTGTATATTCCATGTACGAATACGTTGACCATCATTATCAACTGAAAGAAAATGTCGTTGATCAAGCCAACTAATTGAATGAATCTAAAGGATTTCAAATATAGAATTTATCATCATGTTTCTTTTGTTTTTACTAATTTCTAGAATAATAAATAATTTTTTTTTCCTTCTTTCGAGGGATAGTTTAATAGATTCTGTCACGAAATTTTGATTTAATTATTAACGTTTTATGTCATTTTGACCGACTTTCAGTAAAATAGTCTAGTATTAATGACATAGACTACTACATATATAAGAACATTTAAGATAATATAAAAAACGTGAGAAAAGATAAACTATGTTCATATAGATGCATTCCAAAAAACCAAAACTAGACTTATCTTCTAGTGTATATTCAATAGGATATAAAAGAAAATACTACTCATGCATGTATTTAATATTGAAAACATTCATGATTATAAAAGTCACAGAGTCTGTTAGCGACTAAGAGTGAGAATGGCGTCAGACAATTATACACCTTTGAATCCAAAACATATTTGATTTCGTTTATAAGAAAAATAATCAAGCAAATTTATATGATTATGTATAATTCATGTTCAGCTAAAGTAATTTACTAGATTATTTCTTTTGCAAGTTGTTTTTTTTTAAAAAACAATAAACGAAGAGGAAAACAAAAAAAAAACAGAATCTGACATATTGACACTGTCTTCTTCCTATGAAAAAGAAGCATAGAAGCAAATAAAAAAATGTGCCGTAATTGTATATCAAGTTCATGATTAGTGTCAATTGACAGATCATATTCATATTTGCTTCGATGAAATAGTTATGTGAAAGAATAAAATCAAAATAGTAAATATCTTTAAAAATTCTCTATAGACAAATATAATCCATTGAAAATCTTTGTATCAATACAATATAAAGTATTCGTGTAAAACAAGTTTTTTTTTTTTTAATTATTTTGATAAAACTAATTTAAAATAACATGAATAAACATGTTAGTTTAATGATGAGCATTCTACTTGAATTAATTTCTAAGATAAAACATATTTTAGAAGTTGACTTGACATTTTAAATACAAAGTTTTGATTAATAAGTCTATTTAATTAAACTTTTTATATCATGAATGTCTATAAAATCTATTATTCATTAAATTTTGTATGTTACTTAAATTCTAAAACTTAAAACAGATCAAAATTGATGAGTATTAGTATTAAATTAATTACTACAACTAATTCTTGAAAATTTATTATGTCTACAGACAAAAACAAAATAAAAACAGTCTAGAATTTCTGTTTAACATCATTATTAAACATACATAAACAATCAGCTTCCCAAAAATAAAATCATATCTTTATAATACAAAAAATTCATTAGAGTAACAATCTTTTTTGTCACAATGTTTCTCTCATAAATATCTCATTAGTAAAATTTAATAAATCACTTTTTTTCATGTCGACACTACATCACCAAATGAGCTGCAAATGCTCTCAAAAGAGTTTATGTCGTTAGCTTATGACTGCAGGAAGATATTGCACTTTTAAATAAATGTCATAGTCTTCCTCAGAAAAAACTTATTTTCCAATTTCAACTTGAAACTTTACACAGAAACAGCTATGATAAAACTATATTTTTTAAATATGCATGACAGTATTTCTGATTCTTAACATGTTTTTTTTTAGCATTCATTTCACATTATTATTTTTTGATAAAATGTAAACGCTATTAACAGACCGGTAACAACTCTCACTCTGTGGTATTCCTTACTGTTAATCAAACTAATTACTTAAGGATATAATTGATCTAGATATCAAACAATATATAGTATACAAAGTAAACCATCTATACATCGTACAACATTAACCTATAAAATCATAGTTTGAGATGAATTGTTTTTTTTACCGATGCAGGTACTCCAGTAACTATTCACCTTTACTATACATAGATCTGTTTGCCTTATTTGATATCCTCATATCTAGATAGAAGTACATAAAACAATCTGAAACTTTCATAATATAATACTTATCTTCATATAAAGTTTCATAATTGAAATTCGAAGATAAATTTTCTAAATAAGCCTGGAATAGAGAGAAGTACGGCATACATTTAAAAACTATTGTAAACTTATAGAATTTCTGTAGTAATAAACTAAGAGTTCGAAGTTTTTCTGAATGAAAAAAAAAAAAGAAACAATTAATTAGTTGTCGAACTACTTTCCTTGCCAAATTAAACAAGAAGAAAATATATCTTTTTATGTGATTCTTGAACATTATTATACACTAAATAGTTTTCAATGTTTGCACTTATATGATTGTTTTCATTTATTTCATCGTATTCCTACGTAAAATAGTGTTAAATTCATTGATGATGAAATATATATATAAGATTAGTTCATTTACAAATGATTCAATGAACTCATAGGTTTTCTATGTAATATATTTTTATATCTATATATAAATACTATGAGATAAAATTCATTTAAAGGTTAAAGAAATTTAAACCCACGGATAATGTTTCATAAGCTTTTGAAAACGTTAATCTATTCTATAAATTACTGTCGGATAGTTTTATTTCAAAGCTTTAATAGGATAATTATGTCTTTCAAAAATACTATGAACTTAAATATTTTTCCTAATAATTATGTCAAAAATATCCACATATCTTTTTCTTTTATGAAACCATTATTTCTTGTTTTGAGAAAAAAGAAGAAGAAATTGTTAGAGCAATTTATGTGGAATTAAAATGTGAAATACGATGTAACTATTTTTGCTAATCATAAAGAGATTATTTTATTCTGAGACATATGTCTTCATCCATCATTTCACTTAACCTTTTAACTACAAATCTCCTGAATAAATTACATTTTTATTTTTTAATTTTTTATTAACTCAAAAGAATAAAATGATATCAAAGTGCGATTTTCAATATCACATAGATTATACTTTGATATATACATCAATGTAAAAGATGATTATACTATATTTGATGAGTCTGTAGAAGATCAACAATGCATAGTTTCGATGGATATATCGATTAGGGAATGAATCAGTTTTTTTTTTCTTTCGACTTTTTCTCTACTTCAGTATGGATTCGTCATGTTGTTGTCCGTAAGCCATTTAAGACAAGATCTACTGATGGTCTCCGGATTAGTCCTGACAACAATGTTTTCTCGTCGCAATAGCGGAGAAATCGTTTGCTGAAATCTAATTATTATTCAGACTTAGCAAGAGCTCTATCTCAGATAAACACTTTAATGAATCTGTAGTGAAGTAGAGAAAAAACTTGAGTTGAATGGTATTTGGCTAACACAATTGTTTAAACTTGATGTGAAGTGTTAAGTTCAACAGTCCATAATAAATGATAAGGAAATTGCTTTCATTGGTAGAGGCATGGATATTTAAAGAGTTAATAGTTTCAATTTTTAACATATGAGGTCTATGGAAATGACAGAAAAGTCAAAAATAGAACTTGAATTTAACTCTGATTTTGTTTCGTGTTTAGATGTTTCTATAAGATATTCGCGAGACCTCAAAAAATGCATTACTTCGTAGAGCAAAGCCTATTATTCAAAAATTCATATGTTACAGCTGAATTTTCACCAAAAGATTTAGTTGATTTCGTGTAGGACTCTAATTAATTTTCAAGTAATGTAATGAGGAAGTAGTTTATATATATTATACCGAAACATTATTGATATACGATCTTTGATCATGTACCAATAACATGCATTGCAAGGAGAAGGGGGTGTATTGTTATGATGCCTTTCATGAGCGGAGATGCGAAAACGTCTTGGTGACTTCGAAACACAACACTCCTGGCCATGAGCAATTTTTAACAGGTATGCTCCCATCTATGATCGTCTCTCACAAAAAAAAGATGTTGAAAATATTTTCGACTTTTTCTTTTTTTTCTGAATAATCTTAATATTCAATTTAAGAATAATAGTTGATAGCTTGAAGAGAATTTCAAATAAAACTTTTTTTTTTTGTTTTTCTAGAAATCATAACTTACTAATGGATCAGATATAGTTGCAATTAATGAAAATTGACCTGTCATAAATGTTATATCCCATATATGTATTAAACCTTGTTCAATAAGTATCATTAAACGATTATCATTCATTTGACAATTAAGTATTTGTTGTAGATTATCATTATCAGAATTTAAATGATGAAAATCATAATTAAATAAAATTTCTCCATCATTTAATTTCCATATAAGTATTTGATTTGTACGTAATACAGTTAACATACGTTGATCAATAATATTATTATTATCATTATTATTATTATTAGTATCATTTATTGAAAATGTATTATTTGAATCTGAATCAAATCTAGTTAAAATCATTGTACAATTACTCAATGAATTTGATGTTAATGATGATTTTTCATCATTTTGATTTATTATTGTTTCTAATTTAAAAATAACAAAACATGTATATGTACTTGCATGTTCTGTACATGCAATAAGTGCATATGTTTCATTTTTTGTTAGAATAATTCGTTGAATTTCATCTCCTATTGATGTATCAGGATCTGATTTAAGTTCACGTATAAGATTACATGTATCAATATCAAGTAAACCAAGTGATATACCACGACCATATTTTTGTTTACCAGCCATATAAAGTATAGATGAATGTTGAGATGTTAATGCTATTGAACATTTTATTGGATGTAAATTTGGACGAATTGAATAATCATTTGATGACCATATTTTAACAGCATAAGGATTTAAATTTGATGTTATTTCATAGAATAATCCAATTAGATATTGACCATTATATGAAAATAATAGATTATGACAAGAACCAGCTGATGCGATTGGTAATCGAGAATGAAAACTTCCTGTCTGTAAAAAAAAAAACAAACACTCAAAATCATAATATGTAGTAAACATATAATTGGATCTTGTACAGTAATAAACAAAAATCTCTCGCCATCATATATCAATTATTATATAATGCTGAAGATGTGAAAATTTGTGTGAAGATACTGCATGAAGAATATTATTCAGAAGTGCGAAATCGCTTTGATTACTTAAATACAACAAGCACTATAATGAAGGACACCTGTCTTCGCTTCAAGCAAGTAACCTAGGAAAAGAGTGTCAGATAATTTTAAAGCTCAGTCTGTGGTCGGTTTTTAGTCTAAAGATTAGATTATTTAATCTAAGATTGCTGTTTCTGAGTCTCTTATATTCGAATGGTATTTCTATTTAGTATAAGACTTTTTCATAAAGTTTGTAGGTAATTATGTACATACTTCAGCTCAATTCACTGAACTATTAGTGTGTTATGATCTGTAAAGATCAGTAGATAGTTTAATTCCGATCCAAATGATCATAGAACGAATGGTTACAATTCTAGGAACGATTGATAAACTTCGATGAAATTAATGTGGTAAACAACCATAAGAAATCTTTGAATAATGCAAAAAGAAATAATCCACAAAGTTATTCTTTTTCAGAATGATAAAGCTTAAAGAATTAATGGGTGTAATCAATCATAATTCTCGTTCCTGTTAAATAATTGAGGTAAGCTTATATCTCAGACCTACACTCTTCGTTGAGTATATGCACGCAAATTTTTCGTCCTATGACATGTATGCTAGTTGAGAGTTTACCGAGGTAACCGTTGATAATGACACTATTATCATTTTATCATCTTAATTACATTATGCTTTGTCTTCTATATGGTGCGATCAACTTCCGATAATCTTTTATTCTACGTATAGCGTGATCATTGTTATATATACTATTGTTCAAAATATGCCGTGATTCAACCAATATATATAAATACACGCATTTTCCTTATCTTTTTCTTTCCCTTTCGTCTTCCTTTTGTTTTTTTCTTCTTATAATTATTATTGTTGTTGAACATATACGTCCGGATTATTTTTTCTTAAAATAAACTGTATAAGGAGTGCTAAGATTGAGATACAAAAGGGCGTAAAAGACTTTTATCCATTCTGTATATGAGTACGTTGTCAATATTGATAATGACTAAAGGAAACTACTAGTCTCTCGGAAAACTACAGAGTTTAATATATCGAAAAAAAAAGGAAAAATGTTTTGTAAATATTACATCATAGGATGGTTTGATAGATAATACTAGAAATATTTCAACAAGTTTATTAATAATTATCAATTATAACATAAATTTAATTGAAGAATTAGAATATGTTTTTTTATGAGAATAAAATCAATGATAATATTTACTTACAAGAGCATGAGATAATTGAATACGATTCTCATCAGCTGTAGCTAAAACAATGGGCTCTTTATTTGTTCTATTACTTGGTTGTAATGCATAACAATCAACAAGATTTTTAACATAAAGAAATAAAATTTTAGTTTGAATTATTGATGAATGAGTATTTTTCAAAATAGATCTTCTTTTTATAGATGAACGTTTTTGTGTAATATCTTGATCAATATCTAAATTTGCCACAAGATCACATGAATAAACAGCTGAATATGTTTGTGCACTTGAATTATCAATTTCTTTTTTTAATGAACGTAATGTTGCTGTTGATATTTGATGAGAATGTGATTGTGAAACATTAGTTAATGGTAATGGTGGATCACTACCTGATAACATTAAACGATTTATTTGATGATATATAGATGATGATGATGATATTGGTTGAGATAAACTTGAATGTACACAACAATGTTCACTTAAAACACAATCAGAATTACGATATGGTAATGATTTACTATCTTGTATAGATGATATAAGATGATAACTATCACCACCATTTGCTGATAAACGAAATGATGTTGATTTTGTTTCATTTGTATGTAAATGTCGAAGAAATTTTGGTACACGTTTTTTTGATTCATGATTATCACTTGGTACAATTGAATAACGTTTACTTTGTTGATGTAATTGTGAATATATTTTACCATTTGTTTGATGATGTTTACATGAAAGATTTTTTCTTTCAATTGAACGATTTTTACAATATAAACGTATAATTATAAATAATAAAAAGAAAACAAAACAACTAGCTATAATTAAACCAATTATAAGACTACGTATAGGAAAATATTTTATTTGTTTAAATAACCATTGAAAAAATATTCCTCGATTATTAATTGATTTTGGTGTTATAATATTTATTTTTGTTATTGGTTCATTATGATATAAATGACCAAGAATTGGAATACTTGAATTTTCATTTGTTAGATTTATTATTGAAGTTATTAATGTACTTGTTGGAAGAATAGATGTATCTATTGAAGATATAAATGATATTGAAGTTAAATTAAATTGACCAATATATTGATCAGGATAGACTTCTTCGACATCACCTGATCGAATAAGTGTAAAACTAAGACTATCAAATATTGATTGACGATTAAATGTTAAACCTAAAAAAAAAAAATTCTAATTTAAAGTTGACATTCTTAATTAACTTGTTAACTCTAGTTTTGGCAAGATATACTCCAACAGAAAAATTTGCGCTTCGATTATTCGTTGTGTGCAAAATTCTCCTAATGATAATTTCTAAAGGTATTAAAATGTATAAGTCATTGACCTCTAACACGACCAGTTTTTTGATCACTTTAGTCGTAGAAAAACAATCCTCAAGGTTAGTTTTGTGTTTTTCATATTTGAATTTAAAAAATAAGTGATATTGAAAAATATAAACTTTTTGACGGTACCTATTCTGCCACTTCTGAACTCTAGAAACGATATTTTTGAAACAGCACTGGCCAAGTTCCCAGAAGTCGGGAACTCAATGGGAACTCAAACGGTGTGGGACGTTACCGTTACGTTCCCAGGTAATTCGTTACGCTTTGGTGACTGTCTCCCGTCCGCAGCCTCAAACCCTAGGGTCCTCAAGTCCGATTTTCGAAAAAAAATTTTCTTCAAAAATACCCACACCATTTGAGTTCCCAATTCCCAATGAGTTCCTGACTCCTGGGAACTTGGCCAGTGCTGCTACCTTTCCAGCATTGATGATTAATAAAGAAAACAATAATTCTCTAGAATTAAGTATGTTGAGAAAAATATTTATCCGCCGTTCAATCGTTACCGAAAAAATTAATTTTAACAAAAATATAAAAAAATTTTTTTTTTTTTAATCTCGTTCTCTCACGAGATATATCAAAATAAATGATGCTACCTATCATTACCTTTATATTTGTTGTACCATTCAACAACATGACAAAGACAGAAAAATAATAAATTCATTTTTTTATATATCATATTATATATAAAATCTACTTCGGGGATATGACTCAAAGATGTAAACATTATTTATCCATTCAAATAACTTCAAAGATCGTTTATAAAAGCATCCAAAACTATTTTTTTATAAATTCTTATACGAGCCAAGTCAGGTAACATATTCATATAGTTTTCCGAGAATCTAAGCCCCGCGTCCGCTTTCCATAAACGAAAACTTATCTTTAATTTTTTTTCTAATGTGTTCCGTATTTTAATTCTTTTATTCGAATAGAAGGACAGAAAAAGAATAGACACTTTCCAAAGTGTCTAGAATCAGTAAAAAAAGATTTCAACTCTAATCATAAATATTGCAGATATGGAAGGAGAACGCGATTATTATAGTTCTCTAAAAGTGCAAAAACTTAATCACTTCAACAAAAATAAGACTTCATATTCTTTACGAGCATTTTCTATATTGACTTGAAAAAACCATTCAATATCAAATAGTATATTTTTCTTTTCTCTTTCATCATATTTAATCAATCTATATAACATCCTAGAAATATATTCTTTTCTATGTAATAATAATTCAAATAGATATAAATACTTATAATTATCATTACAAAGTCTTCGAAACGAATCAAAACCTGTTCAAAGATAAAAGAAAAATAATTTAACTTACCAGCAAGAATTCCATTCCATTGTGAAATATTTTTAAAATTTCCAATTCTTAATCGTCGTTGTGCAAGAAAATATTTTGATTCTAATTGATGTATATATTCTATAAATATATATTCAATAATTATTATTTTTCTTTCTTTTTAACTTACTATTTCCACCTTCTAATTTAATTCTAATACCATCAACATATAATTCAATAATTGAAAATTTTCGAATTATTTTAATTGCATGATATATTCCATCTGTTATATGAGTTATAGCTGAATAAATATCTGATTGTTTTTCGCCTAAATTTAATTTTATATATGATCGTCCTCGTACCTATAAATATATTCATATAAATAACAAAATTTTTCTTTTGTGTAGAACAAACAGGGGCGTAACTACGGGGGGGCGCGTGGGGCGTAACGACCCCCCTGCTTCTGAAAATTAGTGGGAAAAAAGGGGTTTACGCCCCCCCTGCTTTTTAAAATTTCGTTTTTTTTGGTGATGAAAATAGAGTTGCGCCCCCCGGGCTTGATAGCGATCGGTAGTCTTCATGAAACATGGAAGATCTCGAAAGCTACCCCCCCCCCCCCGCGGCGCGGGCGGGCGGGTGCATCAAGCCCGCCCGACCCGCGCAGCCCCCCC